TTTACTTTTTTAATTTACAGGAAAATAAACTAATCTTTTGGGGTGCTTTAAGGTGATACGGCTACACGAGCAGAGCTGGACAGTAAACGCATTAATGAGATGAGTCAAGTTTGGTTCGAAATTGAAACTACTTTTGTTGACGAATGTACTGACGACCATGGATGGAATTCGATGACGACGATTTCTTTGTCGGAATCACCCCTACTATGGTCTAAAACGACCACTCTGCCACCTGTCAATGTGGAAGAGAGTCAACAAAAACTACATCATTGCGGAGGCCAAGATTTATTCGTCGGGGCAGAATGAAAATGACATCAGAAACCTCGTCAACGGCCGCGGAGATGCATTGTATCTGCGCAAATGACTTCAGGTGCGGAAGCGCTTATTCGATTGCTATGATTTTCAACAGAAAACTAACGCTTAACAAGCAGAAAAGGCCAGGTTTGACCAATTTCGTCAAAGGTGGCTATTTTCCAAGGACGGGTTCGACACACTCGAGCTCAAAATATCATCGAGGGTACAGGTAAAATCAACATCAAGCTCCTCCCCCTCCAAACGTAGATCGCTCGAGGCGTTAGAGTCAATGACGTCATCTTTCAAGGCTTATGTCAGGGATCGCCGAGATGAAGCTGGACGTGAAATTTGCAGTTGAACATTGCAGCAGCGATCGCAATTAATACGATTGATGGTTGACATCCGGCTCAGATATCCGATGTCGACAAGGAACATTCACAATGCGATGATCACGAGTCTTCAGAGGCACTGATGCTCGAAGAAGATCGTTCGATCCTGTTGGATGAAAGACTGCAGTTATAAAACGACTTCGAGATACAGATCGTCAGTACAAAAGACCGAACGAATGAATCCACACATAAAACAAATAATAAGATCGACTTCGATAAATCGGGCTCCGCATTATCATAATGCAATAAAGTATCGGTATCTTGACGTCAAGCGATTTTATATATTGGTCGGTGCAAGTTGTTGGATTCAATGTGCTGCATGACAACGACTCGGGTCACCTCATCCATTAGCTCCACCGACTCACCCCTTTTGTTTCAAAATGCGTGTGAGCGTGGGATAAATCGCAGCTACCAATCCATGTACGCAGCTTCTGGCGCATTGCTTTGATGTATTTTCGTGCACCAGCGGGGATCTCGGTTGCATGTTGGTTAATGCGAAAATTGTGCAGACGAAAGCATGCCTGGATTGGGTAGGGACAGTTTGCAAGTCCAACACAAAGATGTTGAGATAAAATTCTCCACTTATTGACGAGTAATCCAAAGGCCATTTCTATACCTATTCAGCACTGACTGAGGTAAAAGCTGAAGCTGTCTCTGTCAGATCGCCCATTTGGCTGCGCTTGATTAAACGGCGTTAGAACAACTCTTGTCTGTGGATAAGCATTATCAGCCACGACGAAATAAAAACCTCGGATGCGGGACAGAGTCTGACTCAGTGACCACTGCGTAAAAGCTACATCATAATTTCTTCCTCCTGGAGCACGACAAACCATTGCCGTAAACCGACATAAGTAATCGCAGCAAGCTTGCACATTTAGGCCGTAGCACTAGCACTGTAGTGTCCGGAAAAGAAAGCAACAATCCGTCCACACGCCATGGCTTGTAGAACCCTAATGTGGGACATCGATGGCGCCAATACAACCCAGGATAGCTCCCTCTGTGCTAATTGAGCAAAAACCGGCAACACTCATCTCATCTCTCTGTTGTCGTCCGTTGCAGTGACGTGTAGCGATAATTGGTCACAAGTATTGATAACTTGAATTACCGCGTGCACGATACGATAAAATCCCGCTATGCTTGTTCTAGTAGTTACTCTAGTATGGTGGTAGCTGCCTCCAGCACGAAAATGTATACAATTTTAAAGCATGGCTGCTGGAGACACGGGAGGCTCGCCTAGCGCACGTCATGTAGACTGAATGGGGTCTACGGACAGATCAGATCTAATATAGCCAAGTTATCGGTCGAATCCACCAGAACTCATCCTGTAATACTGCTTGAACTCGTCCTCAAGCAACAAACCCTGAGCGAGAAGGTCCCACTGCAAACGCTCTCGAATCACTAGCATACCACTACTTGCAAAGTTCATATGCTTAGCTATGGCCATGGGTATCGGTACAATCACTGCGCAGAATTCTTCTGACTCCTGAGCTGCCTGCATGTTGCTGTCGCACAAAAATATAAAAGCATGAGCCACTAACTCGCATGTTTTTATCTTCAATAGCGAAGGCGCTGTGATGGGTCAGCCCTCATTTCATAAACCTAGCTACACTGTGCGTCCTCTTCGCTGCATGCGTGAAAATGGACGCATCACATCTTGTTCTGGGCTCCGAAGCATGCGAACCAGATTGCCAATAGCCAATCAGGAAGCTGGATTTAGACGCATGCGGCAGAATGAGCTGGTTGAAAATGGGCCTAAGCTACAAAGCAGATACGACTGAGTCAAGTGAAAAGAAGCTTAACGAACCTAAGAACGAATCGCGATTTTGGGGCATCAATCAAAAGCATAGTGTCTTGTGCTACTCCCCGAGAAGTTATGCTGACCTCAAAACATTTTCTCCATTTTGGACACCAAAATAGCGGCGTAGTTTGAGCGATTGCGACTTCAAAGCTGGCATTGTTTGAAAACTTTGGTTAAAACAATCGAAAGGAGAGTTTTTCAGGTTTTATTGTGCGAAAATTACAATAAAAATAATGATGTTCAACCACAGCGTAAATGAACAATTTCTAGTCATTCCATTATTATGGCTACACCAAAGTAATAGTAAATTAATAAGAAGTGTACAATGCTTGACCAAATTGCAAATAAACCAAAAATAGCATGCTGACCCAAAAATGACCAAACTGGTGTGTCATAAAAAAAACAGTAGGGAGTTACTGACATACAACTATCGTTTGTATGATTGTGCTAGCTACTATCATTGACATACATTATACTTGAGCTGTGTAACATCCTAGGTGGCCGAATTATTGGTAGGAGAGAATGCGTCCTACTAGGAGTCCTAAAGTGTCCTATTGTCCTAAAACCTGGGATAAAAACTAGCAATTCGGCTCATAAAAAAACCGATATTTAGGACAACACAATGAGTTTTAGGACGAAACAAGCCAGGGTCCGCGTGTCCTAATAGAACACTCGACAACTGGACACTCAGCTGTCCTATTAGGACAGACTGCAACTCAGACCACTGTCCTATTAGGACAACACCAAGCCCAACATGTACTGTCCTCAAAACATCCTCAACTGGCCTAGCTAGAAACAATAATCATCTTAACGCCCCTCTCTCCAAGAGCAGCCGACTCTTTGTTGTGCGCGAAAAGCACCTCAACAAAACTTCTCTACTACAACGTGTGTGACAATATTTTTAAAGTGTTTCAAAGGATGATAGTCATTGAAGGTAATAATAGCCGCTAATAGCGGTTGAGCGACTTCAACATGCACAGCAAACGACGGTTAATAATCAGAACGTGACGACAAAGGGGGGGGGGCTTAAAAAGCAGCAAAGTACTCGCAAGGGCTACTTGGCTGCAAGTCGATCCGAAGACGCGGTTAGCAAGCGATGGGGGTCTTGGTTAGCGCGGCGGTGTGCTCGGCCTGGTTCGTCAAGTTGTCTGGCGTCGTCGGGGTGTCGACAACAGGTGCGTTTGTGGCAGGCGAGTCCGGGCTGGGAGCCGACGTCGATGGGCAGTTGGACGGCACGTAGACTACCAGGTCGGCCTTCAGGTTGGAACTGACACCGACCGGCAGTTGGCACTCCTCCAGGTTCATGGCCTTCACGTCAGCGAGCAGGGTGTTGCAGGCAGTCGAGGCGCACATCTTGTCAATTGTGGCCTGGTCCGGGATCTCAGTGGTCCGTGCCGCACTGTTGAACGTTCGCGCTCGTGAGCAGAGCGGACAAGACATTGCTTCCGCAGGTGGCAGCAGAGGCCAGATAGACGAGCGCCCTAGCTGCAGAAGGAGTAGCCGCGATGGTCCATGATGCTTTCAGAAATGGTTGGTGTGCCCCAGGACAATAAGTAAAGCCAATGTGAGTTTTAAGTAACTCTTACGTAAATTTACGCAGATAGTCCGGAAAAAGTTATTATTTGAGGTTTAGGAAAATCTGGAGGACACAAATTATAATATTCTGTAACGAAGGATTAGTCGCTTTTTAGGACACATCTCCAAAATCTCCCTGTAAAATTTAGGACAAATAGGACAGTTTAGGACGTGTCTTAGGACGCATTATCCTACACCAAATTATTTCGTTGTATGCTGACCATGTGATGGATTGCAAATTGCAGCGCCTCCCGTATTTCTACCAATCAAAGCTCTGACATATCTAAACAGCAGTTTCTGACGTTAAAAATTGATCGAGTTAAGGTTGTGGCTGGCGCGGAGTATAAAGTGTTATATAATTATAATTAAAAGAACAAAACACTCTTCGGGGAGTCATTCCAGACACCTTGCGTCACAGCGGCTCATGCAGCAACTTAGCGAAGAGCTGCTAGTGGGCTAATTCAGGGATACATTTATATATAAATTCACAGGAGCATACTAAAACTAAGGTCATCAGCTTATTGTCCTTTTTTGTCCTTAAATCTTTCTTGTTGGGGTTAAAATCAATTCTGGAACGGTAGTCACCGAGGAACTTCTTGACGTTTTTGTTGCAGTAGCTCTACCCAGAAAGGTCTCAAAAGTTCTGCAAGGTGCACCGAAGTGAGCCAGGGTGCGACAATTAACGTGCAGCCTTGGGGGTGGCTTGAAGTTCCTGGCTGGCACATCTTGAAAGGATTCCTTCCGAGGTCTGTTGGGCATCGGCAGTGTGATGAAGCGGTTAAAACTGGAGCAGGCCAACTTGTGCCTACTTTGGCTCCCATTATTACGAGTGTCACATTCAATCGCCCCCATTATCATAAGGGACGAGGCTTCAGAAAATATTAATGTAAGATACAAGTTCATTTCCCAATTTGACAGCAACTACAGCAGCTACTTTCAAAGTGATGAGCACGATGAGCCCGTTAGGATCTGCGACTGCATTGGAGGCAGCTCGGACTCTGGCTGAAACTGCGAAAGCTCAGGCAGAGGCAGCAGAAGCTGAAGCTGCTATAGCTCTAATGGAGGCAGCGCGAGCTCAGGCGGAGAGTGCGCGCGTTCGAGCTGCGGCGTCCCAAACCCTTGCACAGTGGTCGAGAACTCAAGCGACGACTGCCCAGGCGCTCGCGGACAAGCTGGCGGGCTAAGATGAAGGAGTAATTCTGTAGACATCAAGCCATTTTCTTCAATACAATCAAAAGATCCGCTTTCCATTAAATTTGGTGCTGGGGTATTTGCAGATCCTACGCGAAGTGAAAGCTCTTCAAAAATTGCGTATCTTTCCGCCACAATTCAATTCTGAATCGTCTTCCGTCGGTGCGTGTCAATACTAATCCAATTTTTAAATTGCACATCCTGTACGAAATAATAATGTCATGAATCTTTTAGCTGAGCAAAAAACCTTTAAAATATTATAGGCCTGTCTAAACTGTAGTCAGTTTAGGAGGAAAGAAAGAAAACATTTGGACAAAAATGTCAATCGATCCGTCACTCGTAGATCGACGGCGCAGAACGCAAGCGACGCTCTCCTCTTCTTTATCAACTTTTCCTCCTTCTCAACATGACCAAGAAGGTGCTGTGCATGAACCCAGGTCCCATCGAATTTGAGCCTCGTGTGCTCAAGCAGTTCGCCATGGAAGGCATCTCGCACGTGGACAAGACAGTGATCGAAGTCTTCGGCCAGTGTCTGGAGAAGATGCGCAAGGTCCTCCTGGCCGCAGACGGCCAGCCGCTCATCGTGGCAGGTTCCGGTACACTCGGATGGGACATGGTGGGCGCTAACCTCATTAACAAGGGCGACGATGTGCTTATTGTCAACAACGGTACTGCTAAAAGCTACACAAATGTAAATAACCTACCCGATATCTAAGTGGTATGCTACAGGCTACTTCGGCGACAATCTGGCCGAGTGTCTTGAGCGCTACGGTGCCAAAGCCACCCACCTCCTTAGCAAGGTAACGCAACACACCTTCATATCGTATATACAAACGCTAACTACTGAATTTTAACGTGCAGCTTGGCTCCCAACCTTCAATTGCAGAGCTGGAGAGTGCGTTAACAAGCGGCAAGAGCTTCAAAGTGGTGACAATCACGCACGTGGACACGTCTACTGGTGTTCGTGCCCACGTGAAGGAGTTTGCGGCAGCGATTCGTCGTCTCCAACCGGATGCTGTCATTGTAGTGGACGGCGTGTGTGCCACTGGTGGCGAGGAGACTCGTATGAAGCAATGGGACCTGGACGTGGTGCTCACGGGCTCTCAAAAGTGCTTCGGCGTCCCTGCCGGTCTCAGTCTCCTGGTCGTCCGTCCTCGTGCTCTACAGCTCTTTGAGAAGAACACGTCGACTGTCAAATACTACGTGGACTGGCGTAACTGGCTGCCTATTATGAAGAACTACGAGGCTCGTCAGCCCAGTTACTTTGCTACTCCGTCCGTGAATCACTTATTCGCACTTAACGAGGCGATGGACATTATGCTCGAAAATGGCGGCATGGAACAACGCTTTAAAGAGCACCAACTCATTGGAGATGCTCTTAAAGACGCTATGAAGACACTGGGCTGTTCTCTGGTGACTGCAGACGACTGTGGCGCCAACACGTTGACGTGTGTGCGTTATCCGGCCGGTGTGGGCGCTGCCGACTTCCTTCCGAAGGTCGTGAAGCGTGGTGTGTCACTCGCTGGAGGGCTCCACAAGGCCATTAAGACGGAATACTTCCGTATTGGCCACATGGGCCCAAGTACGCGTCGTCTGGATCATATTTTGAAGACCGTGGAGGCTATTGAGGGCGCGTTCATCGAGTGTGGCCACAAGGTGGCGCAACCGGGCACGGCGGTGAAGGACCTTAAGAAGAAGCTTCAAGCCACGATCCCAGTGCACCCGGCGTGCGGCTATGGGTCAGTGTACCATGGCTGTCCCGTGCCCCCGAAGTGCCAAGTGTACTCGATCGGTACCGTTGTCATTGCGTTTGCTGCTGGTCTCCTCATCTCGCAGTTAAAGAGCAAGATCTAGAAGAACTGGTTGGGGCTGGAAAGGAAGTCACCGTCGATGTGAACATTGTTCGTGATGGCGAGTCTTTGCGGGGTAACTTTTTTGCTTTAAGGGGAAGAAGACGGACCCGCTTACAAACCGCGCCTACATGATGAATGTTTCGTTAAAAAATACAACCTTTTGACATTTTTTTTATCCGCGCGGTGACCAAAGAGCGCTTTTCGGACTCAAAATATCAGCGGAATAACAAATGTTACTCGCTGCTTGTGATATCTTCAACGTTTGCTACGGATATACACGGACAATAAGCTACCTAAATAGTCCTGTGAAATGCGCCTCCAATTTGTTTTTCCAGATGAAATAAAGCGCCAGGCGTATTACATGTAATACTACGTAGTAGATGGCAGCGTAATGTAGCTCCATTTTTTCATATTTTAGGCGCGATATACCGTCCACTGACAAGCTGAAGTTCGCATGTCTCTGTTCACAAGGAGCACAAGATACAATAAGACCATCACTCCTTTAAAGCTGCGACGTGTGAGGACGTAGAGACTGTAAGATGTGCGGCATAGACCTCCCAAACTCGATGCGAAATGGCGACCGTTACATGCGTCGTCATCACTCACCAATCGCCTCGCGGCAGCACGCAATGGACAAGAAGGATGCGCAGAACCTCGTCTGTGGCGGCAGTATGTCTACACAATCCCTCTTTATTGCACTCCGCTTAAGTCTTCTAACCTCTTGCATAATTATTTCAGTTGCCGGCTGCGCATCTCGCACCTCTGTGGCTCCGTTGGAGAGACTGAAGATCCTGTTCCAGGTGCAAGACTACATTAAAAGAAATGGTCCTGACGCCGGCGCTCCAGTCAAATACCGCAGTGTCGGGCAATCTCTGCGTCAGATCCACGCAGGGGAAGGTCTCAGTGGCTATTTTAGGGGCAATGGCGCCAACTGTGTCCGCGTGTTCCCGTATGTAGCCATCCAGTTCGCAGCCTTCGAGAAGCTCAAGCCACTCCTCATTTCCGAAGGTGCCGAGACACTTAGCCCACTACAAAAGCTCTTCGGTGGCGCTATCGCTGGCGTTGTGTCGGTTTGTATCACATACCCACTAGATGCGGCTCGTGCGCGATTGACTGTGCAAGGAGGACTAGCCAACACCGCGCACACTGGCGTTTTCAACGTGCTGTCAAGTGTAGTGCGAACGGAAGGCTTGCGTGGTGTCTACAGAGGTGTGTTGCCAACAATTTGTGGTATTGCACCCTATGTAGGCCTCAACTTTACTGTTTTCGTGACCCTACGTACCACAGTACCACGTAACGAGAACACGGAGCCTGACACCATGTATCTATTGGCGTGTGGAGCTCTTGCTGGTGCCTGTGGCCAGACAGCTGCTTACCCGATGGATATCCTTCGTCGTCGATTCCAGCTGAGTGCGATGCGTGGAGATGCCACGGAGTACACCAGCACGCTTGGTGGCCTTCGAACTATCGTCCAAGAGGAAGGGGTTCGTGGGTTATACAAAGGTCTGGCCCCGAACTTCATAAAAGTGGTGCCGTCCATTGCAATCGAACGAACTGATGAAACGTGTGATCAAAAAATACGACTTGTGACCTAGAATATGTCGTGAAATAGAGCAAAACTGAGTTTAGAAATACGTCCTTCATCAATTTTAGTGATGACTCTCGTCGTCAACTACCAAAGAAAAGCTCACAACTCCAGGCATCGTGCAGATGTCGATAGAAGGGGCCAAACCTCCCACTGCGATCACGTCGGTAGCGTGGTCGACCACACAGAAATGACAGGATCTCAGCGTCGATCGGGCAGCAGCCAGGAGTTGGCCAGAGCTGCGGTTCCACTTCTTCAGACTGGGGTCGTTGCCCACACTTAGGAGCTCCATATGGTGGAAAACGACGTCATGGACATCGCTCGTTGTCTTGGTGTAGTGCACTGGTACACGGGAGGGCAGATGCCACATACCCAGGAAGCCGCCAGCCGACCGTTTGTTCCCACCTCCACAAGCCAGCCACATCTCCGAGTCATCGTGTGCTACTGCACCCACCCACAGAGACGGTGACGCAGACTCCGACTGTGTGGCCGGTTGAGGACGTAAGAATTCCACTTTTCTCTCTTGGCGCACATCCCAAATGCCAAGTGTGCCGTCCTCGGAGCCTGTTACGAGCTCCTGGGAGTGCTGGAGATGACGCACTGCATGCAAATAATCCTCGTGGCCTTCGAAGTGACGAGTGAATTGTTGCGTGGTCACGTCCCACTCATGAGCCATACTGTCTCCTCCGGCCAGGAATAAGTGACCCGTTGTCTTGTTCACTGCGACATCATTGACCTCAGACGCTGGGAGGAGTGCACCTCTGAAACCTAATGTTCTGCGCTTTAAGTGGTCGATATGAACCGGTGTCAACTTCTGGGTCTTAATGGGGTCTTCCAATGCTGCAAGGATATCCTTCCATCTCCACACCCGAAAGTCCTGATCTCCTCCACTGTCGACAAGCAAATACGTATTTTGAGGACGTATTGACATGGCTACATTTAGTTGGTGGACACGCACCTTATTAACAACGGGTTGAGGTCGTCGCCAGCAAAGCGGAGCGAGTAAATTTGGGTCGGGTGAGCCCGGAATGATAGATTGGGTCCTGGGAATGCGGTCGCTCTGCAGCAAAATAGTTAAATGAGTTCAAAAGACAAAACATGTACTCATGCTAGTTTCCTAATGAGGTATTTTCCGCAAATGAACGTACTCGCCACGACCCACTTGATCCCAGTATGCTGGTTTCATGACCTGATCGAGTTGATAGACGTGGACAAGTCCCCAGCTCGTGGCTGCCACCAGCATAGTTTGTCCGCCCGTGATCTGCTCCGGGGCGAAGACTGCTTGGTACACCATCGTCTCGCTCGCTCGCATTTGATGCAGTAGCTCGGCGCGGTACGCGTCCTCATCGTAAGCTGCCGGGTCCATCTTATCGAATGAGCCGATGATGCGATTCCTGATGCTCATAGGCCAAAATTTAGAGTTCCCCTCCAAAGTATACCGATTAGCAATCTCCCCTTTATAAAGGGGAAATTACCCGCTTACAAAATGTGTTAGCATGCATTGGTAAAAAAGGTTCTCAAGAAACCATTCTCCAAAGCAATTTTGGTGCTGTAAAAATAGATGAATTGTGACTAACTGCTCTTGCATTTAATCATTTGAGGTCGTGATAAATATGCAGACAGGAGCGTCCCCACCGAATTCGGCTCGGAAGACAAGTGTGACTCAGAGCCCATCACGACGGGGCTCGCAGACTTTGGCAACAGAAGTACCTCAAAATGTGCGCCTTTCGCTACATTAATGGCCCAAATATAGGTCTGACTTTGCTACGCAGGAATTTGGTGGAGTGCTTGTGACTCCAGAGCAGATCCACATGGCGTTCCAGTTCCTCGACGTCGAGAAGAAGGGACGCGTGACGCTAGACAACCTGCGCTCAAGACTTGGCATCTTCTACGACAACATGAGTCTCAAGGACGTACGACTTCTGCTCAGCGAAGAAAGCGAGCTCTCAGAAGAGTATTTACATGCACTGCTACTACCAAACGAGGTCAAGAATTTCGATCCGGTAGCGGAAGCTTTCAAGGCCTACGACCCGGAAGAGACAGGCTTTATATCGCGTGAAATGCTGCGCTACGTGTTCGAGCGGCTGGGCTACGGTTCTCTTACTGAGGAGGATCTCGACATACTCATCTCATGCGCAGACGCCGACCGAGACGGTCGTATAAACCTCGATGACTTTCGAACCATGCTGGAGTAAAAACGAAGCTTTATTCGTCTTGCCCTTGTTTCTTTAACTTTGAATACGTAGCAACTTTTGCTCCAAAACCCAGCAAAACTCTTCTATAGTAAGAGTGACAGTCACGGTCCCCGGCCTTGTATCAAATCAATTGGTTTCTATTCCAGGCGCGTCTAAGGTTTCTATTTCTTTTTCTGTTGCTTGCCGTTCTTGCCGCCGTTGGCGTTTGCGTTAGCGTCGCCTCCCTCAGCCTTCATAGCAGCCTTGCGTGCAATCTTCTCCTGTAGTGCCTTGGCATCAGCCTCCCGTTTAGCAAGAGGGTTTCCCTGGCTGGTAGACTTGGCATTTTTGGCCTGACGCGCCTGGGCACGCTATACGCAGAACAGCGAAGGTGGAAACCAATCATTAAATCCATCAGTTCCCGGCCAAAGTAAGCATGCAGCACATCAAAATACAGGTAAAAGGCAAAACTATCTATCTGTACTCACCGCACGGTCCGTGTCTCGCTGGTTGCCACGCGTCATCGCTGCACTCTCGACCGCCACTCGCACCAACTACCGATTTCCGAAAAAAAAGTGAAATGAACAGGCGACTTGTCTTATTCTCTCATGATTGGCTAAAATCAAGCTTTTCCACTGTTTGGATTGGCTTAAGTCGTTCGTCGTGTCGCATGTGGAAGCAAGTCACAACCGAGAAACGTATTTCGACAACAGACGCATGCTTGCAATCCCGAGCGCCCCCACCCGTGGCAGTAGGCCACACTACCGACCCAACACAGGAGTCGCTTGGCATCGCCGCACCCCTTCCGTCTTCAACACATCGCTAGATCTCAAACAACAGCAGCTGGCTGCAGAGTATCAGCATTTTGAGACAAATACAGCGATGTCAAGCGACACTGAGCAGCTTGAAGAAGCTCTAGAACACCCTTCAAGGTCTTCAAAGCGAGGGAATTTAGCTGCATTCCATCTTGTGGATTTTTCGGACTCGGATGACGAAGAAGATAGCGACTATACGCCGTCAGAGGACGACGAGAAGGAAGTCAGAGAAGGAGATGATGCTGGCGCGCTTGATTCCTTGCAAGAAGAACAGACGAATACAACGGAAAGTGAAGAAGAAGAAGAGGACTTAGACGACTACTCAAGGTGGTGGGGGTCGAGTGAGGATAAATACAAGTGGGAACAGCGCTATAAACAGGCAGATGCTGCCTTCCGGAAGAGATTTGGCTGTGGCATTGACACCCCAACACATCCAGAAACAAGAAGGAAGTTGAAGAAGAAAAAGACAAGATATCATGCGTATAAATACGTTCTAGCAGGCTTGGTGATTGCGAATCTGGTGCAACTAGCACTGGTATACTCGGCCTCGTCCTGGGCGTTTTCGATGGTAACATGGCGATCGTCGACTACCGAGAACGACGCTCTCCGCGGTGATGACGACACTGTAGCACACACCGCAAGTAAAGATCATATCGCCGCAGTATCACGTCCATTATCGGTCCCGGAACACGTGCGGACTGGGCTGTACTTATGCTCTTCGCTGTCTCGACGTGTGGTCAAATCTGAACACGACGTGGCCGCTACGCAACATGCTTTACGCGCGTGTGATATCGCTGTGAAATTCGCACCTGTAAGCTCGCGCGAGGCACTTGAAGCGCATGTGCTTCGTGGAGATCTACGCAGTTTACTGTCGCTCTTTGACGACGCCGACGAGGACTACAACGTCGCAATGAACTTGGTACTGGACAGTAACTGGAACGTGAAATTCCTACCGGAATTATCTCAAAATCTTGAACTCAAGTTGGTGGCCAACCACTGGACGCAGCTATACAAACATAAGAAGTTTAGGGAATTACGACGAGAAGCCAAAGACAGACTGGCAGCTGGCAACACTGGAAATGAGGTGAGGACACTAGCTGCTGATTGGTTAAGTGCATTCAAACGCAAGATATCCGTGTTGGATGTACTTACTGTACAGCGTGGCTGGACACTACATCGTCTTAAGTACGACACTTTGGAAAATGACAAGACAAAACGGCACAAAAGTTGAAGCACTAGGGTCAATCGTTGATTCTGTTATGGGTAGAACTAGAGGATGGGGATAGTAGTGCAACTTTACAGTGTGATGTAGCCTACATCTCTTTTTCCCTGTTCTCCTACATCATGTAGGAACAGATCCGCTCCCACTTCTGAAATCATCACTATCTAATACCCTGTTAATTTCGATATGCAGGGCCTCCGAAAATGAAATTGTCAATAACATTATTTACAAATGTTATGTATTTCTGGAGAAGGCAAAAAAAATGTCATTATTTATTTCGATGCAATGTACAAGATCAGAATTTATGAAAGTGCCTGTTTAGCATTATTTTTTACGCCAGCCATCCATCGACTTCTTACTACGATTCTATACTTGGTGGCTGTCGTACGTCTGAACAGCTTTCGGCGAGCTCTTATTTGTTTTCACTACTCAATTTTCACTACTCCAACAAGCTTGACTACCCACGTCTTCTGACCACGATGGTTCGCCCTACTCGACCCTCCCGACCAGCCTACAACAACAGCAAAATTTCTGGCTCTTTTCTTCCGCCCGTGCCGCGACGAGAACGACTTGCAACATCGATGGGGGTGCCCCTTGTGGGCTGCGCTAGTCATAGATTGAACCTCGCAGTTCAAGATGGTCTGGCGGTGCATGAAGACGACCTGGCTGTTGTACAAACGCTGATGGTGAAGCTACGGTCGCTTAAACAACCTGCAAAGCCGAGGTAAGCTTAATTATGTACCGGTTGTGTAGAGCTAAGATATGTCTGACCAAAACTGTATCCTCATATTTTTAGGCTGAAGACTCCACTCCGCCCCGTTATTCGGCAGGACACGCGTTGGAGCTCTACGTTCCAGATGCTCAAGCGCTACCTAAAGCCCCTCGAGTTCCTCGACGTCGAGGACGACGATATCATGGAGTTGCTGCCGGCGCCAGCGGCGAACAGGCGGCTGCGAGCACTCTATCAAGAGTTGAGAGACGTCGAATCGGTCGCCAAAGCGCTCCAAGGACGAGATGCCGATTTGCTGGACGTGCGCGAGTGGTTCGACGCACTCATTGCTGCGAAGCCGGAGTATGCACGATTTATCGGTAAGGCACGAGTATTTAACAAGGGCTTGAACTTAACTAACGCCATGGTAACATTTCGCTCCATAGGACCTCGAGCAAACATTGTTCACAGCCCAGACTTTGAGTCTGGGTGTGCTCGTGTGCTTAAAGGCAACCAACACCGTCTAACCCGTGCGGAAAAAGCAGCTCTCGTACCTTTCCAAGCCGTGCGTGAAGACTCGGAGGACGATTCGGAGGAAGAAGAGGCTTCGTTTGTAGAGCGTCTGAGGAAGCGCCGTCGTATTGCTGAAGACGGTGGCAAGTACGACCAGCTGAAGAGCAATCCTTCGACATCGAATGTCGTGGAGCGCTTCTTCAGCGTTGCTTGAGTCACGTTTGGGCAGCAGAGGCACGGATTGCTACCTCTTACTCTAGAAACGATTCTGTTCCTGAGAGAAAACCGTTCGTACTGGGATGCCAGCACTTTAGATAGCCTGAGCTAGCTCCCAGCACACCATGCTAATAGACTGGATGCCAACCATCATGGAATCATAATTGAGTTATTTATTTCCTCGTTCTGCACATGCACATTATTTGTTTGTTGCTGCGCACGATCGACATCAGATAATGTATTGCTCATCGTGGTAGCTACTAAATAAAAATGCCATATTCGGCCCCCCTGTCGATATGTTAAGGTTAAAAATGATTCTTGCACCGACATTTGAAAAAAAACACCCTTCCATATTAGATCTAATACCCTAATCAATACGTTTTGAATTTGGATATCAGAACTGGGAGCGGTGACATATCAAAAGATTGGAAGGGAGGAATACGAGATGCTACTAAAGTGAAGGCGTGTATATCAATTTGTTATTAGTAGCAGTCATACTACTACCATGTTGTACTGTATTCAATGAGTAGTAGTAGTAATCTTAAGCACTCTTTAGAGTGCTATTTTCAAATTACCTAACTTTCGATACTACTGTACCGTATTCAATGAGTAGTAGTAGTAATCTTAAGCACTCTTTAGAGTGCTATTTTCAAATTACCTAACTTTCGATACTACTGCAAAAAGTGTCTATAGTGTGGCGCACGGTATTTACGAATCAAGATTTGACATTGAGATGAAGCTCTCTTGATTTTATCCAGAGTAGTAGGAGCGACAGGACTGTTGGTGGGAATCACGCCAGAAATATATACAGATGGCTCCTTTGTTTCCCACAAGTCCATTTAAAAAAAATACCCATTTCGATTTAAAACCATGTGGATAGATAAGGATATTGCGAATGTTGTTTGAGACTTTTACGATTAACCTTCGCAAGATATTCCCTGTGTGACGGGGTCACACAACACCTCGCGCAGAGAAAGTTATCTTCCGAGAGTATACAAACTATCAGTGAACGGCAGTTCACAGGACCGCTTTGCCTATAGTGAGCTAAGTGACCAATTTAAGCTAAGTTGCTGCTGCCGGAAAGCGCAAGCCAAGAGCTCTAAGCCTCACGGCAAAGGCTCGGCACTCCAGGAGGCTACTAAGGTGGCCTCCGAGGCGATCGGCTCAGCTGGTGACGCGGCTGCGGGCAAGCGTGCGAGCAAGCGCCGCAGTCCGTCACCCTCGGCCTCCCCGGACAACCGTCCAAACCCCTAGTTTGCTGAAAGTGAGTTCGACTCGGGCAGTGACGACGAAGCCGAGTCCGGGAGCACTCACGATGCTGCTGTGGCTCTGCGGGAGGACACAGCCCAGTGCCCAGCGACAACAAGGACGACAGCGTGCAGTCGTTTGCTAGTGATCACAGTGATCACAGTCCCAGGACGTCTGTGCGCTCTGAGAGCCGGACCGTCAAGGCTAAGGGCCCTCCCAAAGCTGGCGACGACAAGGAAGAGAAACCTCGCAAACATCTCTGGCTTGCCGAGGGTCTTGCGCTTACATAGGTCGCTAAGCCATAAGGCGCCAAGCCCT